GGGTGGGGTGGTGGGAGGCCAGTGGGCATTGTGATGTTCTGCTACCTGGGCTGAGAAGGAAATTTGAATATTCTGCCAGGATTCCTGCTGGAAATCCAAGTAAAATGCTTGTGACCAGGTCCTTTGGGCCGGGTTGCAAATACGCACTGGACCTGGCCCAAGCCTGTCCCTTCCCTGGTCCTCCCTCTGTTTCTTCCTCAGTAAATAAGGATCCTGCTGCTTCCTCAAACCTGTCAGTGAGGTGAGAGGTAGGAGGCAGTTGTGGGCTTCTGAGAGCTGGGGAGGCGTGAGGCCGCGAGGAGAACCTCCGGACTGGAGGAAAGCAGCTCTAGGTGCCGAGAAGGTGCCGCCTCCATTTTCTGTGCTGGGTTCCTTTCTGTAGAGCCCCTGATCCCTCTCTGCCGCCCTCCTCTCACTCTCCTCTTGGCCAGTGAAATTGTGTCAAATCACCACTCTCCACCCTCCAAAGACTATATTCCTATTTTCTGGAGAATTCTCTCCTTTCTGGTCACGCCCGCAGCCCCTCTGAGCTCCACCGACTTGCCCTGAGCTGGAACCGACACCGCCAGCAGCTTCCCTCTTCTAGTAAGTTCCCTGTCTTGGGGCGCAGAACCCACTGCCTTCCCCTCCTGGGCTGTCAGAGGAACTAGGTAGTATCTAACCATTGTGTTAAACTCAGCTTCGTGGGCTGCCAAGGAGAACTTCATTCCTTTCCCGAACCTGGATGGAAGGCATTCATGCAAACACAACTTCCACTCGGGAACATAAATCCAGTTGTCTTCACGCGCCGGGAAAGGCTGTTCTCCCACACACTCGGGGACCCTTCCCAGCTGTACCCTGTTGCCTACTGGCTACAGCTATTTGTGAAATTTCTGAACTGTCCAAAAGGGGATGAGCCAGGAAAACCCTCTTGGAAGGATACTCACAATTTTAACTGCTCGCAAACTCAAGAATTGTAGAGATGCGTGGAAAATACTGAAACTCTTTCCCCAAACTCAGTGCAGAAGGAACGTGAGATAATTTACATCAATTAACAACCCAACCTAGTTCGAAATGTGAATTAATATATATTCATTGGGCAGTCAATCCATGTGAGCATTCCACCTACTGCCTTCCCGTGAGTATCATCCCAGCACAGCGGTGGGAGCACAAAGGCAGGAAAAAAGGTACATGGTCCCCAGACGCTCAGGACCCTTCTGGAAGCCATGGTAGCTGCCAGTAAACCACCTGAGGATATGGACAGGCAGGTACAACAGGCTGTGATTCAAACTTGGATGACGTGGAGGGATAGGGCTTTGTGTGTCCCAATCGTAGACGGCCCTTAACAGTGTTATAACAGGCCAGCCCAACATCGATGAATTGGAAGCTAGAAACTTACCAGCAGAAAAGACGCTGCAGGTGTCACAGGCCCTTATTCACGGTGCTAACGGCCTTGTGAAGTAGGTATGATTACTTCCATGGAACAGGTGGGGAAACTGAGGCTTCAGAAGTGAATGATTGCCTGAGCCCATGTGGCTACAAGGGCATGGAGCCAGGCTTCAGATCCAGCTCTTCTCTGATGTGCCAGCTCCCTTCTCTTAACTGCCTTTCCCACTGCCCGCCCGGTGGGCATTCTTCACACGGATCACGTCTTCCTGTAAATTCATTATTGAAAATTCATTTGCACTCTCGGCAGCCCCGCCGCCGCAGATTTTATCACGGAAGAGGAGGCCAGGCCTGGGTAGAATGACCATCAGCCCCGACATGCAGGGCCCAAGAGCGGCTGGGGACAGAAGCAGACAGAAGTCACAGCTGCCAGTGAAGTCGCCAGCCTTCCGGGGGCCAGGTAAGGACCCATGGCTCATATATCTTGGTCCTCAGAGAGAAGTGACTTGTGCGGCTACCTGATGAATCCTATAGGGTTTTTAGACACTTTGCTTTCATGGGAAGGAGAGTGTATTTTCAAGTGAAACACAAGGTTTTAAAAGCAAACCATTGGCTCTNCAGGTAAGGACCCATGGCTCATATATCTTGGTCCTCAGAGAGAAGTGACTTGTGCGGCTACCTGATGAATCCTATAGGGTTTTTAGACACTTTGCTTTCATGGGAAGGAGAGTGTATTTTCAAAGCAAACCATTGGCTCTAGTTTCCTTCTCCAAGGGAGGCTGGTGGGGAAAGTCAGGGCAGGGGGAGCTTATTTTTTATTTTTCTTTGTCATTACTGCATAAGCTTGACTATGCATGGTTTTGAGCGGATGCCCGCCGCTAGGCTTCCAGAGAGGGCATTCGGTGTTGGGTGTTGGGTGCTGAGTGTTGGGTTTGGGGGGGGGTGGGGGTGGTGAGAAGCAGCCTGCAGCTCTGGGAATGTCTCACTTGGCCACAGTTCCCACTCACCTCCCAGGAGTGTCTGTGGGTGGCAGACTGATCACCTCCCACAGAGACCTTTCCCCTCTGATCCAAGGTGCCCTGATCTTATGTGGAAGAAATAACATCGAAATGAATATATGTTTTATTTCAAAATGCTGGTGTAATAGATACCTCTTTCAGTCTGAGCATTCATCCTAAGGCCCGAGCCATGCTGCTCTGCCAACCACGTTACCCTGTCCTGTGGTGGCAGAAGGACAGGAAAGCCACACACAACAGCCAGCCTTGCCATGGACCTGTTCTTGCCCTTGGGGAAACCACTGAGCATCACACCTCCTTGCCACCCACTGAACACAGTAGCCTTTATTTTAAAATACGACACTTACTGTGGTGGACACGTAAATATAGAACACGATAGTATTTGGATGGCTTGGAATTAGGTGCAGTTAGAGCACGTCTGAACCTGTAGCAAGACCCAGGACCCAGCGATCTAGCGGGTACTGTCGGGAAGGGCAGACCTCGCTCCTCATTCCAGCACCTTCTCCTGGAGGTGGAGCGCTAGGTGGTCAAGTAGCCCCTCGGGCTACTGTTCCCCTGCTAAGGACAATAAAATCTATCTCATTGCATTGCTCTGATAACCAAGGGAAATCATATGCTGACCAACACCTGACTAGAGTGGGCTGTGAACTATCGTTAGTTTCTCTCCTGCCACCTCCCCAATGGCCCTTGATGAACTCTCAAATATTATTTAAAAAGTGAGGCTCCCCGTGCGTGAAACGTTCCTGGACCCACGAGGCTCGTACGATCCTCCACCTGCACCTAGAAGACACCTTCCATCACCCTGAGATTCACTGAGAATTTGTCCCAATTTTCTGTTATCCCAGGGCTCCTCATCTTCCCCCCATTATTTCCTCACTAATCTCTCTCATATTTTCCTCATATTCTAAAGTGATTTGCATAAGTTGGAGTAGGAGCCAGATGTTTGAATGGTATCAGGGTTTTGAAGCGAATCAATAGGAAAAACAAGAATACGAACACCTAATGGAAAAATGGGGAAGGGGCAGAGCAGATAATTTCACAGAAGTACTGCAGGTGGTAATGAACATCTGGGGAGGGGTTCCACCTCACTAAGTAATAAGTGTAAATTTACATGAGAAAAATGTGGCCTTCCAAATTGGCTAGGGGCTTTAAAATAATACTCAATACTGGCAGTGAAACTAATAAGGAACATTTCCTGGGCACAGTTGTGTCAGATGCTGTGCCGAGCCCTGTAACACGGCTGTGAGAGATGCTCTCCTGTCCTTCCTGTAGGGTAACTTGGTACAAACTGGAGTTTGGCTACATGTGTCTAAAGTCTTTAGAAAGTTTGTACCTTTTGACCTTGCAGTTCCACTTCCTATGAATCTATTTTAAGAAAATAAGACAATAAGTCAGAGATGTATGAACAAGGACATTCATCACAGTGTAATTTGTGGTAGCAAAAGCCTTGAAACAATATCTATGCCCAATGATAGAAGAGTTAAATAAAATACATTTATATAATGTACCCTTATATCATAATTAATATCATGTTCTTAATAGTTAATGGCAGGAGATACTGCTCACAGTAAAAGTTTTAGAGAAAGAAAGCAGGACATAATGTTGTATATACCCAAATATCCCAATTTTGTGTTTTCAAACAATATTTCTAGATAAGAGAGCCCCAAATGCCTCCAGGGAACAGGTGGGTGTGGCAGGGGAAACACGTAGCAAGGGCTGCGGGGCCTGGGATCCGCCAGCACATACATGCTCCTCCTAAAGGTGTTAACTTGGTGTTCAAATGCTGAGCCACAGCACAACTGCAAGACGAAAACAGACCAGGGATCTTTTTTTTTCCTTTCCTTTTTTTTGGTGCCCTGGCCTGGAATCGAGCTGGTGACCTTTTGGTGCACAGGACAAGGCTCAACCAATTGAGCCACACTGGCCAGGGCCAGCCAGCCCAGGGACCTTGAATTCCAGAACAGTAGCAGTGGCCGTCTGAGTTTGGGATGTTGGGTGGTTTCTATTTCTCCATCATCCTCTTCTGTATGCTCCACATTCTACCATGAGTATCTACTACTTTTATAACCAGAGGGAAACGATTGAAATTATATGGCCATCAGAATGGAGGAAACTATTGGCCGAGCACATGAAGAAGTCTAGACCAAAGACAGAGTCTTAGGGCAGACGGATGCTTTTTCTGGTTTCCTCTCTGCACCCAGAACATCCAGTTACACCTTGTTGAACTCCTGGAAGTGGCAGGCGCTCCATTCCCAGCTGGAGCCCAGGCAGGGCCCCAGAGAGGCCCTGGCAGCGTCTGCGGGGCGGCTCTGTGAATAGCACATCTCCCGCATACCGAGCCGGGTGTTTGCTCCCAGGCCGTGAGCTATGAAATCTGCTCCCTATTTGAAAGACACAGAAATAGGGTTAAAATAGCATAAATATAGAATGGCACAGTCTGCCACCTTTAGGGGAAACACACACACGCACACACCAGAGAAGTGCTGATGGAATCTTTAGAGGAAGGTGGTTGTGGTGACAAGGAAGGGTGGAGGCGCATTTCCTGGGGTGTTTCACATCCACAGGAGCTGCAGTGCAGCACTTAGCCTGGGAGTCCTCCTGCCCCAGAGGCCAGTGTCAGCAGGTGACAGCTTGGTGGCTTCCAGGAAATAAGCTTATGGTTCCTGTTGACTTCCTAGTTTCTGTCTTGCAGAAGCTGCCCGAGCTGATTCTTTTGCCCCGTTGGTGTCTCCCAAAGCCTGTACTAAAGTGGCTCTGGGCAGAGGGGACAGCTCCCACCATCCAGCATGTCCTGAGTGTTCAGGGAGTGACCAGGAGGTTCGAGTTCCAGCACTCAGCCCAGTCTGGGTGGGCACACCAGCTACCCACCTACCCACACACAACCAGATGCTCAGGGCATCCTGGCATTGCTGATATGTCTATTACCGGGACTTATAAAACCCATGAGGGGCCTGGTAGGAGAGCGTAAATGATTTCCAGAAGAGCCGATGAGTAAAGATTGGCGCTGTGTTGCTGAGTGTCCCCTGCAGCTCACAATAAAAGAGGCTTACAGAACATTAGGACGTTAGAGACTCGAGCTGGTGCTCCCCTGGGAGGCCTCAATTAAAGCGAGTCGGTATTGACTTGCCCTTGGCTGAGCCAGACACGCTCGGAGGATTTGCGTTTCACCTGCCCGAGCTGTTATCGCACAGGCCTCCCGAGCCTGTGGGGTCCTGTCCACGCTACACGGCGAACCGTGAACCGCTGGAGAAACCCGACGCTAAGGGCAGCGGGGCCTCGTCAGGCCCTGCAGGCCAGCAGCTAGGGAGCTGAGGGCTGGGCCAAAGTCAGGAGGGAGCAAAGGGAGGTGGGATCAGAGAAGCACTTTGTGTCCTATGCACGTCAAGATGGTAAAAAAGAACCCTCAGCAACACACACAGACAGCGATGAAGTCCAAAACCAGCCTGAGCTCCTCAAACACACAGGGAGACTTCAGAAGCAGCATGACAGAGCCCCCTCTGGTGCAGGAGTCTTGCGCCCTCCTGCCATTTTCACCACGTGTGTCTGCTCCTCCAAGGCTCGCTTGCTGCCTAAGGGACCCCCCACTTGGTGTTAGAGGTCCTCCATCCCTGAGCACCCGGACAAAAATGATCCTTCTGTCTTTTCTCAATGCAGATCCAGTTCAGCGGGAAGGCCCAACATGGGCAAGTGACACTAAGCTGAAGAGGCCAACTCTAGAGAGGAGAAACTTAGCCCCAGCCTCACAGCCAATGACGATGACTGAGACTACCCCTGAGAGAGCCAGAAAAGGGGACCCGCGTGCTCCTTCCCAGAATGAGCCACATCCAGCCCTATCCCCAGTCTTCCCAGCAACGAACAGTCCTCGAGGGCTGAGCGAGTCCTTGGGGCCCCCACTCTTCACCACCACCATGGGAGGGTCCAGAAGGGTCCCATTTAGGTTCAGAGATGAAGATTTTTATTCTGTGTTATCATTAAGCCATGAAGGAGAAAATGATGACACTGAAGAGGAAACCCACATAGAGGAAGAACTCCTGTTGGTTGGCATGCACCCACTCCATTCTTCTTCCAATCACAAGAGGAGTCCATTTCTTGGAACATCTGCCACTCAGGCCAAAAATAAAAATTTGAAAGAAAATCCTGAAAATTGCAGGGCTAATTCTGTAAGGAGGAGTGAGTCCAGTTATGGTTCACCAAGAAAAAGCAATGTAACGGAGCCAGTGAGAGAGGAGCTTTCTGTCAGGCAAAGGATGTTCCAAGACCCCAGGCTGCCTGATGGGGGGTCTGCTAAAGAGAATGACAGTGGTGACAGTGAAAATGAGAAAAAGACCTTTCGTTCACGGGACACCAAACTCGAACCTAATCTAGATGATGATCTCGGTGCTGAAAATGTACTTAGTGACTGTACTTCCATGGAAGATAGGCCTGGTGCCCATGATTTTGAAAGAGAATGGCGAAGCTATTTAAACAATTCTAGTACTTCTCTTGATTGTTTTATTTCTGGTAGACCAACAGCTCCAAGATCATCAATGAATTCATCTTGTAACACTCCTGGATCATTAATGCCTTCTGCCCCTAGAGAAGACATCCCAGTAGACTTGCCAATGGCATCTACTTCAGTTCACAGTTCAGACTCAGAGGGAAACGCAAGGTTTAATGTTCATCAACCACTGTCCCCAATTAGAAATAGGAATCCATTCGCCAGTGCCGAAAACCACAGTTACTTTCCAGTAAACAGTGCACATGAATTTGATGTCAGGGGAGCAGAAGCTATTACCTTAACAAGCCAACCTCAGGGGCCTCCACTGTATACAGAAGATCTCTTACTAAACCCTCAAAGCAGCTTGGTGGTGGTGGAGCCTTCCAGCTCCTCTCCGTCAAGAATGAACTCACAAGGCCACTTGCGTGTGCCTGGGTCCCTGCAAGAAAATATACCATTTACTTTCTTTGCAGTGTCTGATTTCCCAAATCAAAGTGGTCGTGGGAACAGAAGGGCAGTCTCTGGTTCCACAGATGAAGCAGCGGCCACTAAAATAAAAGCAGACCCCGAGAAACTCAAGAAATTGCAAGAAAGGTGAGGCATTTTCATAATTATATGTAAATACATATTTTTATTCCATTTTTCCAAAACTGAAATAAGCAGTGCTTTTATCAGAGGGTCATGGGAATTTTAAATAATAGCTAGGCCCATCCTTGACATTTTAATGACAACTTATAGCAAGAAAGTTGCCTAGTTTGTTGCTCTTAAAATATATATAGCTATCAAGAAAAGTGTGGTGTTCCAATTCAATTTCTTCAGTATCCCCAAAGTCTTTTTCCCCTGGAATACCGTTAATTTTAAGAAAGGCAAGTTTGCTAGATATAAGGATTTCTGACTGCTCCATAGGACCAGCATTTCTTGCCAGCAATTAGGAACCAAGATTTTTTACAAAAAGGTTGCTATCTCCCAACATCAGCACTTGAGGTTCACCAGCTCTCCCTCATGGGACTTTGTGCAAATCCAACCAGCACTCCTAGAATTTGAATCTTCCAGAGTAAAAGGCAGGTCCCCCGTGGTTACCATAGTTACCTCAGTTCTCTGAAGGGCTGCTCTGGGGTAACCACTGCTTCCATTTTAGGTGCTCTTTCTGCTGTGTGAGGGAGAAATAGATCTTTTTTTAATCACCCTTTTCTTCGATCTTTCCTCTCTTGTGCATTGATATTGCATATTTTGCAACTATCAAATTTGAGACTTTGAAAGCCGTCATTAAGCACCATGTCAGGATTCTACCATTTCATTTACCATAGGTGTTACTATGGCCTGATCTTGGTTTACAGATCTGGACATCAATTCTTTGAATTCCAGCCCTCTGTGTGGGGCTCATTTGGGCCACTAATTATCCTACTGATATTCATTTGTAAGTGGGAAAATTCCATGGCAATGAATTAGACATGCAAAAAAGGAGAAAAAAAGGAGACTATAGAACGTATACATACCCTGTATGTCTTTTATCCAACTGCAGAAATAAAGCAAGTTTCTAGGTAGTAGCACCTTTTCTTTTCTTAAACAAGCTACTAGGAGGCTGACCTATGGTTAAGGGCCGAAAGGCCTCACACCCATCCATACTACCCTACCCAGAAATATGGCTTCAGACCTGCTTGTCAGGAGTCTGAACTTACAAAGTGCTGCCTTTGGGCTAAAAATTATTTCTTTTAAAAATGCATCCACTTCTAGGCACTGTAGTGCATTAAACAGCTATTATTCGGTACTTTGTTTATCAGACACTCTCTTTTTTCTGTAAATAATAAATCTTATGCCTTTCTAATTTCAAAAATATTAATTTTAGGAAATATTAGAAATATAAGCTTAAAAGAAAAATTACCTGTAACTCTCTAATCCAGAGATAAGCACTGTCAAAACTGTTTCCAGCCTTTTATCTTTGTATATAAATGCAATTTTGAGTAAACATTGGTTCCTATTCCGTAATATGTCTTACTTTAATATTTCAAGCCCGTTTCTCAATGCCATTTACTGCTCTTTAAAAATTTTCCCTTGGTTGGTTACTTTAATACATAGAAATAAGAATATAACATATGTACATTCTAGAGAATTAGAAGCAAAACAAAACCCAGGCATCCCTGTGTCCACCTTCCAGCTAATAGAACATGCTGGAACTGGTGAGCCCCTCCCCTACTCTACCTCGCCTGCCCCCCGCATCCCCTCCCTTGCACGCCTTCCACCCCTAGGAAACCATACATGCATTGCACTTACCATTCTTTGCTTTTTATTTTGTTGTTGTTGAAAGTTTTTTGCTTTATGGTTTTACCATATAAATATATGTACCCCTAAACAATATATTGTGCATAGTTTTGAATTCTATGGAAATGTCACTATTATTTGTGAATATCCATTCTGCGAAATGTAGTATCTATTCTTCTATGACTTACTTTTTCCCCTTATATTTTGCTTTAAATCATTCACTTTCACCACTACCAAGAATTCCATTATATGGCTAATACCACAATCCAGCCATTCTCCTGTCAATGGGCACTTGGGTTCTTTGCTGTTTTCTGCAAATGGCTCTGTGTGAATATTCCTGTAAACGCCTCCTGCTGCACATGGAAAGAATTCTCTGGGATATTATTTTATCTAGGAGCAGAACTGCTGGGCTGGCAGGTAGCCCATCTTCCCCCATACTAAATAATGTGACTTTATTGTCCCACCTTGCCAGCGCTTGTATTGACTGGCTTTTCAGATTTTTGCCAGTCTGATGGGAGTCAAATGATACTGTAGCTTTCATTTACATCTTCATGACTGTTAATAAGGTTAGGCATTTTATGTGCGCTTTGGAATGTTAAATGACCAGTTTTATTTCCTCTTCTGTAAAATGCATATTTATGTCTTTGCCCACTTTTAAAGAATATTTTTCTTTTATTTTAGAAGTCCTTTATATATTCTGGCCACTAGTCTAATCCTTTGGCAGTTACATCTTAGAAATATCTTTTCCCAGTTGGTAGTTTGTCCTTTCTCTTTCTTGATGCCTTTTAATAAAAATACATTCTTTTAAAAAAAAACACCAAAACATATATATATCTTTATTGATTTCAGAGAGGAAGGGAGAGGGAGAGAGAGAGAAACATCAATGATGAGAGAGTCATTGATGGGCTGCCTCCTGCAAGCCCCCGACTGGGGATCGAGCCCGCAACCCGGGCCTGTGCCCTGACGGGAATCGAACCCCGATCACGTGGATCCTAGGTCGACACTCAACCTCTGAGCCACACTCAGCCGAGCTCAGAGTACATTCTTAATTTTAATATAGTCAAACGTATCCATCTTCTTTTGGATTGTGATTTGTATCCTGTTGTCTGAAGAAATCCTTCCCAGACCTGGGGTCATTATTCTTCCTATTTTCTTCTAAAATTTCTACAGTTTTACTTTGTACACTTAAGACTTCACATGAAATGGGTTTGAGACTTAACTGGGAAGTGACATTTAATATGTGGTGTGAGGTACATGTCCCGGGACCTTTCCCTGCCCACCTACAGACCGCCTCTCTCGTGGAGCATCCACGTGAGTGTATGACTGGATTCGGGGCCCTCCGTTCTGTCTGTTGGTCCTTTTTGCCTTGTCTTTCTGAATCCAATACCACATCATCATAATGTCTGCAGCCTTTTAAGTTTTGATAACATGGTACAAAGCCTCCCTCTCAGCTTTGTTCCTTAAAAATCCCTCGACCGTGTTTAAGAATCAGCTTGCTGGGTTTTCACTGGACTTGCATTGAATTCACAGATTACTCTGGGGAGACACGACACCTTGGAGATACCGAGTCTTTCTTTGATAAACAGGGTATATCTCTTCTTTCCTTTGTGTCCATAATGGGAAACTATAATTCTGCTCTTTTCCATTGAATTTCCTTTTCTTAGGGAGGACGGTCTCTTAAAAAACTCAGCATACACGTCTGTATCCAGAGCAGTGTCCAGCTCTCCCTCCCCCTTGATTTTAGTCTCCAGCAGCTTCCTTTCTTTGACCAGACAGTCCCCAGTCCCATGAAAACAAAAAAACAAAACAACGAAAACAAAAAAATAGCCTTAGGCTTCTCAAAAGCCTCCCTACATGAACATCACCCAGCAAGTCTTCATTCACCACTCATTAGACACACATCTATTTGCTTACATTTTCATCCATTCATCAGATTCTGGAATGCTGGCATAAATTGTCAGCAAGTGCTGTGTTATTGGTGAGCTCATGTCCAGGTTTATTGGTTCATCACTCAACCAACATCTACTGAGCGGTCTCTAGGTGCAACTACTTTGCCAGACACTGGATGCACTTTACAGTTTGCAGAGCAGGTTCACCGTCACCCTCGCATCCAGTCTGCCCATAACCCATATCACCCTGGCCTTACCCACAGGGAAACGGAGACCTGGGAAGCTTAAGTCACATGTTCAAAGTCAACAAACTCACAAGTTGTAGAGGCAAGCCTCAAACCCAGGCTCCCTGACCACAAATCCCATGCACTCACCAACAACCACACCTCCAACTTCCTCCCCGTGGCCACAGCGGGGAGAGGGGCCCCCAGCCTTTTCCACGGTTCCCCTCAGCAGCCCTGTCCCACGCCTCCATGCTGCTCCTGCTGGTCAGCCACCCCACCCCACCCCACCCCGCATCAGTGACTGCAGAGGCTCCTGATACAAGAACCGTGCACCTATTATCAGTAACCAGACCTGGAAGAATCTTCAGTAGGGTTGGAGGGAGCAGTGGGGGGAACCGAGAGCCCCGTGGGCAGGTGTGGGGGGATTGCTCCCTCTCCCTTCCCCCACTCACGCCCTGGGAACTGGTACTTATAGAAACTGAAAACGTGTGCACTCTTGGTCACAAGGGCTTGTTTTCCACTTAGTATCCTGGAGGAGGACTCCGAGGAGGAGGGAGACTTGTGTCGCATCTGTCAGATAGCTGGGGGCTCCCCCACCAACCCCCTCCTGGAGCCCTGCGGCTGCGTGGGAAGCCTGCAATTTGTTCATCAGGAGTGCCTGAAAAAGTGGCTGAAAGTGAAAATAACATCAGGTAAGTGGGGAAGTGCGAGGATGTAGAATTAATAGAAGGCGCCACAGCGGGGCTCAGAGCCTTGACAAGAGCTCACTCGCCTCCACCAGGCAGGAGCTCCCGGGAACGTGGCCGCCGAGCCAGCGCTCCGGCTCACAGCCCCGCAGATAGTAGCAGGACTAAAGGCTCTCCTTAAATCCTGGGAGATTTTTTCAAGTCTAAGAGAAGAATTCTGGACCATATGCTGTTGAACTAACCCCTGTTTGAGGCCTGAGCAGAGATGCTAAGATTGCCTCCCAGGAGGAACAAACTAGAAATGGGTCAGTGGTTGAACCTCAGCAAGCATTCGGCCACCATGCCAGCTAGTAGATACCTGGCCAAAACAGTTTCGCTTCCTTTTTTTTTATGGGGGAAGGGGGTGTCACCAAAGAAACTGGGCAAAGCTGCCTTTTTGCAGTAGGGGTAGGAAAAGAGCACTGATCGAATTTTCTAGAACCTTATTAGACAAAGCGATTTCCCTGTGCTGGCTTTGTCAACTCTGTCTCGAGCAGGTCTTGTAACTGGGTATGTAGCCCCCAGCTCCATGGGACGGCCACGTCAGTAGGTTAGCGTAGTTTTCTTGGCAGAGAAGGGGAAGTTCCTTTAAAACATGGTTTTGGGAATGAGAGCCGCTTGAACAAAAAAACCACAGAAGACCATCGCAAAGAACAACTCGACCAGAAAGTAGCTGCCGCATTTTCCAGGCGCACCTCCCCAAAACGTTTACCCCCAGCCAGATCCTATTTCTCTCCTCTCCCACTTTTCCCTCCCTGGTGGCCACCCTTCCAAGTAGCCTGGGAGACCCAAGAGCTTTGCCCTGTCCCCGTGGGGTCTGGCTGTGCCCCCTTACCAGGAGCAGAGCACCGTTTAAGCAGACAGACGGACATGTGGGGCTGTCACACGGTCTCCTCCTGAGGCCCCGCCACCTGTACACGGTGCCCGGGCGGGCACGGGCCGGGGCCCCTGCTCCAGCTGAAATGTGTCTCCGCATCGCGGGCAGGGGGCGCGGCCCTTCCCAGAGCAAAGGAACACGCGGATCTCGGCTGCTAATGACCCTGCCTGGCAGTGTTTTCTCCTGCTAGAAATTTAGGCCAATTAGACATCTAGCACAGAAAAAAATTACTCCTGAAATAGATGATGAAAGTCCTGCTAACTGCTTGTAAATGCCGTCGAGGGTAGGGTGTGTTGAGCAGGATCAGTTTGGAAGACACATGGGACATTCAGCAGCCCACAGCAGTACAGACTGATGCTCAAAAAGAAAAAAGAAATCAAGTAAACAAAAATGCAGATAAGGGATTACTGTCCATCCTTGTCTTGAAATTCTCTACTATTTACTATTTGTCTAGATTCCCCGGGGGGGAAAAACAGGGCTCTGAAACTGCGCAAAGCCTATCTTTACCAAGTAAGTGCGGGTAGCTAATTTGTCCCCTCTATTCTCTGATGCGCAAAATAAACACTGGCACACAATTAGCCAAAGTGCAGCAGCCACACTGGGGGAAAGACATCTGGCAGGATGGCTGCCCAGACAGAGCGGCCACTGGGCTGCATCTTCCGTTTTTGCACTGAGAGAAGAATAATGCTGATCTAGAAGACCCGTTTCAAAAAACCAGCAACAAAGGAGGCCTTCTCATGTTGCTTTTCCCAAATGTGTCTAAGCTCAGGTTCGAGTGCTGGCCCCAGACACTGCCCCGCTAGTTCCCACACATGGCCCCCGGCTCCCTCACTTTTCTCAGGTGGGAAGTCGCCTGCGTGGGAGTAAAGGCAGATTTTAAGCCACAGCTTGAGGATAGCTTCTGCCATCCATTTGATCCTCACTAATTTATTTGCTTGGACCTGTGTTAGGTCTGCAAGAAAAAAGAAACACAGCAAAAACATAGGCCCAATATTTGCTCTTTTTGCAAATACCTGTGTTACAGACTGTCAGCTTCCATGGAGCAAATCTAATTTTATGAACCAGTATGTTTATATTGAAACTGAAAGCAAGACATGTTATTCAAAAATCATGGGGCTTTCGCTTATACGAAGCCTGCATAGTAATGAAACTGATTACAAAAGAAATGTTTCCGATCTCAAGATTCAAGGTCATTTTCTAAGGAGGATGGCTGACTTTAAAGAGAAGGTCACTGAAACTCCCAATTCATCACACACACAAGTTGGCTTTCAAAATGTCAGCACCAAAAGACCCAAAGTGTCAACACAGAGAGACCCAGGGTCATAGGTAACAAAGAATTCTTTAATTTAAGGAGCAAATCTAGGAGCTGTGAAGACCTGTGAGATGTGTAAGCAAGGCCTGCTGGTCGACCTGGATGATTTTAACGTGACCGACTTCTACAGGAAGCACCAGCAGTCCCGGGTAAGAGACACGCACACCCACTGCCTCCGCAGCCAGCGGTGCAAGGCCGGGGGAACCTCTTTTCCCGATACAAGGAAGGCAGGAGGCCTGTGCATGGCATGGAGTGGGGAGTGTTCATTTAGCCCACTTCTTTGAGAAGGTCTGTTACTAAACTGGGCCATTGGAGGGTTGGAAAGCCTTGGTCACTCTGGGTTGAGGTCCCGCTGCTGTCAGGGACAAAGGTAGGAAGCTGCAGTGGCTGACAAGACACACAGAAATAGAAAAAGTCTGGCAAGCTCTGAACCCAAAATTGCTGAAGTAATTTAAGTTTAACAGCGACAGGAGGGAAAAAAACCAATCAGGGTCTTGAAGGAAATGGTCCTCAATTTATATATCAGGTAACTCTGGGGTGCTCGGGAACTGCTTAACTCGAGGGTAATAAACATGTAGTAAGCACTTACTGTGTGCTTTTTAACACCTAGTGAGTGAACTCTTCTGGGGCATTTGAATTGCAAGTCAAATACTGTGAAGGAGTTTGTTGACCTTAGGAGGGAAGGTGATTTATGTCCAGGATAATAGTTAATTGCCCAGTTCTCAGACAAACAGTCTCCATTTAGAATGCACTACACAATATGGAAGCCACAAGCCACTGTATTTCTGTTGGGTGGTGCTGATTTAGAAGGTGCCTGACACATAATAAGCAGTCAATAAATATTTATCAAATGAAAATAGCCCACATTACCATTATAATTTAAGACTGACCTCCCTCACAATGTGATTAAGAAAAAAACGATTAATAATCACGACTGTAAAGCACGTAATTTTAAAACCATAAAATCATTGTTAACAACTAAAATGTCACCCTTCAGAGGAGGAGTCCCTTTGGCGGTCAGACCACTGGCCTGTATCCAGACCTTCTTCGCAAGTAGCACAGCTGAGTATAAATGGTGCATGTGAGTCTGGGTAATTCTGTAGTTACTTTTTTAAAAATCCTAAGGCTGCTAGACAAATGAGTGAAATATTGATAAGAATGAGAATTTGAACAGTGCAACAAATGTGTGTGATACAGCGGACATAAGGCCACACCAGCATTGCAGAGGAAATGGGCATCAGGAAATGGAAGGGAGGGAGGAAGAGAGGGGAAAAAAAGGAAAGAATTTCCTGAGAAATAAATTCAATATTTTGAGCCCATACAATTTGAGGGTTTTGAATCATCCAGTTATAACCCCCAGGCACTGAGATCTGAGATGAGAAACAGAAGCGACTCACATTCTTGGACCCTGAGGATGTTGGAGTCTAAATATTGAAAGGGACCAGGCCCTCTGAGTGCCTGAGGTCAGGGTGCCAGCTGGGGTGCACACAGCGTCCATGTGGTCACCTCAAAGAACAGATTATTTCAGGAAGCAGAGCCTGTGAGACTTCCCGAGAAGGACGTGTCTAGACAAGGCCAGGTTACCGGGATCCCCCCAGAACGGTCTGCAGGCATCACAAACACCGTGCAGCCGAGGGAATGCCGCATCCAGCAAGCACCCCATCGGGCCCAAGCATTTCCACCCCGTTCTCCCGCTGCCAGGCTGCTGCCCCGCACCACACACTTGGTTTACCAGGGGTGTTGGTAGGACTGACTCCCTAACAGCAAATTTTTCCAGTGGTACTAAAGTGTTTGCACCCATGAAGCCAGAAGCAGCCCATCCCACCAAAAAACGCACCAGCTTTGACTAAGAATCAAAACCCAGGATCAAACAAGGCACATGGGATCCTTGCCCGAATCCTATCTTCATTCTCGGCTCTTGCAGGACCCTTTTGTTTTTCGAAATGGCGTGTCCACTAGGATTAGCTCATTTTGCCATAACGCCTCGGGGAAATGGGCAGGACAGTGGGGACTCCTCCCCTTTTATGAATGGGGAGGCACTTTGGTCATGTGCTGTTAAAATTCTTCGCTCAACATCGCAGCCCTTGATGGCCCCAGGCTGCCCGTCCCGGGAGCATGCCCGCTGTGTGACAGGGACGGGCTGCTGCCATCTGGGCCCTGCGGCGCAGGAGGGTCTCAGCGGGGCTCTGGCTGTCGCTGCTCTGAAGCACAGGCCTGGCTTCGCTCCATCTCAACCATGGGCAGATGTCGTCGAACACACGCAGTCACCTAATCACCCTCACACTTGGGAGCATCTCTTGAACATGTTTGAAGACTCGATGGAACGCACAGCCAGGCTGTCCGCTTCTTGGAGGGGATGAAATGGAGAGTTTCCATTGGTAGCAAATCCCTTGGTCTAAATGAATATTAACAAAATGAAGGGGGGAGGGGCTGGAGAGAAGAAAAACACCTGGCAGGAGGGCTGAGGGCTCCAGAGCTCTTATCCACTGCTTCACAGGTTTCTCCCTTTCAAGTCTCCCCACCTCCTCCCACCCAACCCCCACACTGCATGGGGG